CGAGAGTGGCGTAGATGAGGTGCACGATGTGCTTGGGCAGCGTCTTGACGCGCGACTCATCTGCATAGTTTTGGGTGCGACCGATGAGCGGGGTGTGCTCATCGTGAAAACGGCCATTAGCAGGCTGGGGCATGGCAGGCTGTTGGGGATAACTGGGCGCGCGACCGTGGCGGTGGAAGTGTCGCTTTATGTCTTCTGCCAAGGCCGAGGGGTTAGCGATGCGGTGTGTGACGATGGGACAAGAAGCGCACGAGGTAGGAAGGTTGGTGATAGTGCGCTGCTTGGTATGAGGCGCAGCGGCGAGCCGTGGGCGGGTAAAGCAAGAGTTGAGTTGATAGGCAATGCAGCTCAATCGGCCCAACTCGCACAGCGGGGGGGAGGGATGAAAGGGAAGAAAGGGAAACAAGATCAAAGGAGCCGGGGACACTCACTCATTGCTTCGTGGGCGAAGGGTCAGATGGGCACTTGGGCGGCAGGGCTTGCAGTATATGAGCTGTCGACAGCCAAGCTCAGTGGTGTGTAGAGTAGCGGGAGAAGCAAGCTCGGCAATTGGCCGGGGAGAGGCTTGAGCTACTGGTACTGGCGGGTGATCCGTGGTTGAAGAGAGGAGGCAGGCAGGCAGGAAAAGAAGAAGGCCGAGCGTGCTCGGGCAATTACATATCAAGAGGACAAGAGGAGGGAAATGGGGCGGGCGAGGACGGCCCTGGCTTTGATGAGCCGTGTGCTGCGACTTGTTGCGATGACGACGTATTGGCGCCGCCGTGGACCTTGCGGGCTGGGGGGCTGTGTAAAGTAGAGCGAGTAAGTACTTAGCGAGTAGGGGTATTGCCAGGGGGAAGTGGAGTGACCCGTCAAACACTTGTGCCTGCCCCAGTGTCAAACACGGCCAAGCCCGAGTTTCATTGCTCGGCCACGCTCCAAGAAAGCCCCGGCCGGTCTTTGTCTTTCACACAGCCGCCTCTTTTTATCCTTTGTCATTCTCCTTTATTATTAATGTTGGTGGTGAAGGTATTCGAGCGCGAGGGCTGTCCGGCGTTGACCGTGGTGATGTCATTTGTGCGCAGTGCGAGGTGCGAGGTGCAAGCTTGCCACTTGTTGCCCGTTGCCCGTCGCGCCTTCCAAGAAAGTGTCACGGCCATGCAGCGCCCAAACACGACCGCTGCGGATCCTCGCCAACCGGTCCCGCTTTTCCCTGCCTCACTAAGAACACTAACACATTAACATTACCAGCATGCGCAAACTTCCCTGCTCCGCTGCAACCTCGCTGCGACGTCACCACCGCCTAATACCAAAATTTACATCTTTTGTCCGTCAACCCCATCGCTGAAAGCGGTTTGCTGTGCGCCAAAGAACAAGCCCAGTCTCACGGCCTCCCAGAGCTGTGCCCCAACGTGGCGTGGCTGAACACGATGTCGTTGCTGACACGCCTGCTGCCTGGAATACACAGCTCCAGACTCAACTTACATATTGAGAATGTACACTGCTTACACGTTTGCTTACACCCATCTACCATGCAGCTACTACTACATATATGGTGATAATGCAGCACTACTAGCCTCACGCCATCTTCAAATATCGAGCTGCGAATTGACATGGTGGTCAGCACTGATACGCCCGTAAACCTACACCAACGCTGGTAGTTTCGTAGCATGCCCACACAACATGTCAATGACTATACTCAATAGATGAGGATACAAATTAATGCCATTGAGAGAGAATTGTCGCTAGAGGACACTTTTCCAATGCATCACTGGGCCTGCAACCAAGCTGTGACTTTGATGCGCGTTGCAAGGTTTGAGATTTGAAGATTTCAAGCTGTCACCTCACGTGATGACGTGACCCGACGCGTCAGACTCCCCGCGTCCCCCACATCGTCTCTACTTCATGCCGCATCGCCTCAATGGCGCGACTAAAGACACCTGCTTCTGCTTTCACGTCTTCTCAATTACCCCCAAATACCGCCGCCGCTAGCGTAGCACTGCCAGCGCTTCAGGCTGTAGCGGCTCGTCCGCGACGTGCTCAACGGCGGCCAACCAAGCAAGTCTCGTATGAGCTTACGAACCATGCCAAAGCCTATCTTGAAGCCGGGCAATGTATGTGGCTGGACACAATATTGGAGAACCAGCTGACGATTGTTCCAGACGTAAGCGGCTATGGTCTACTATACAGCCTGCTCGCTGCGGGGACCAGCATCTCCACTCCTGCACGACCCCATGTTGGCTACCTCGCACCGCCCGCCTACATTGCTTTTGCCTCCTCCTTAGTTGTAGACCCCAAGTGTACAACAAAGGCGGAATCAAGAGATGCGATAAAAGGTGCAGATGCCGCTCTGCAGTACCTTCAATGCATGCGCACTACCATAGACGGCCCCGCATACTCCACCATACGCAAAGCCTTTAGTTTCCCCGAAGAGCGCAACAGGAGACGCGCTCCAGGTTACAGGAGCGGAGGAAGTCTATCTCCCGAGCCAGGCGGAGACATTGAACGCATAGCCGGGGACGCTGCTAATGAAAAGAGCTTGTGGTATCGTGCCGAGGACTTTTGGCACATTGTTGGATGGGCATTCAACTGCGCGTGTGTACATAAGAAGCGATGGAGTCGATGGAGGCTGTGGTTAGCGGTCATGCTGGATTTTCTTGAAGCCGACTGGGAAGCTTTTGTCCGGCAGAGCACAGACGACGACGTGGACGCAGAAATCGTCTTTCAAGAGAGTCTGTTTTGGCATTACATTATCGGCGATGAGTCTGCACCTACGAATCGCGCAAGAAGACGGCGTATAGTCAAGGCTATCTTCGCGACCGGAATGCCTGAATCACTCGAAGAATATCCTGAGATTTGGGACAAGGAAACAGCAGGGCCCAAGCGGAAGAAGGATGAAGAACAGCGAATTGGCGAAGTCGACTTTGAAACGGGTGACATTGCCGACTATGCTAGCGACGACGAGATGCAAAACGCATCCGAGGACGAGGACAACGAAGATGCGGATGGAGCGTCTGCGTTTCAAGACTATAAGAGTATCCAAAACATACAAGATGCTATAGAACACTTGGGCGGACACGACGCGATTGAGCTGCGACAGCGTCTTTTAGCTCTGGTGAGTAGCCTGTACTCTCAAGTACGGCAACAACTAACAGTAAACAGCTCGCCCAAGCAGCCCTAGCCCTGCCTACTTACTTCACGCGCCTATTCGACCTCTGCGATACCATCCTTGAAGACTTCATCCAATTACCCGCCATCATCTTCCAAGCACTCCTCCCCACAATGAAGCTACCCGACGGCATTCAATTCGCCTTCAACGCCAATCTCCTCTCTCCCTTGATCAACGGTAAACCACCAAACTACTTCGTCATCCTGCCCACGCAAGAACACTTTGAAAAGAAGCTCCTTCCGCTCAAAGGGTCAACACAAAGCTTCGCTGCAAACGCAAAGATTTCCCTCATCCTAGAGCAGCTCTTCACACACATGCTAGACCATGATGCCCTCAAGCCCACAAAGGCACTCCGCGGCGCCATGGAAACAGGCATCGAGGCGCGACAAGGTGTTTATGGCACAGGAAAGGGGAAGAGAGGTAACGCGCAGGAAGAAGAACAGGGAAAGAGATTACTGCATGCGTGCTCAGAACGGCTGCTGGGTTTGTTGGAGGTGTTGGAAATTGCTGCGGGCATGACACCACAGGTAGCCAAGGGGAGGGGGCACGGTGATGCTGCTTTGGCCCTGTTGTCTTTTGGCTCCGGCTCGTCACTTTCGCCGCCGCCAGAGAGCGAGACGGAGACTGATGAGTGATGATGTAGTGCATGTATATAGCGGACCTGCTCAGCGCCATGCATAATACGCTTTGTCGCACATCGCAATACCAATCACTCATCTCCCTGCCCCAGTGATGTTGTATCTCTGCTTTCTCTTTTTTTTTCCTTTCTCCGTTTAACATGTATACGCCTGATACACGCTCCCTAGTCCAAAAGCAACAAGAAGAAGCAAAAAAGAAAGCACTGGCGAGACTTGGAAAAAAAGCAACGATGCCTCATTTACCACACCCCAAATTTGAGGCACCCGGCAAAAAAAAGAAAGGCACGAAAGTTTCCGGTACCGGGAGTCGAACCCGGCTCTCGTCGGGCGCTGTCATTGAGAATGAAAGCGACGGATGCTAGCCGATACACCATACCGGATGAATTGATGAAATTAATTCAAGTAGCAATGTTTATGTTGTGCATGTGGAATGCTTCGCGCGACATCAGGGGAGTCTGGAGCATAAGATTTTTTTGCCACGCGAAAGAAGTTTGGTAGGGCGCTGGCGCGGTAGCGAGGCATGTGGCGGGTTAGCGCGGTTGCGGGCGCGCTTTTCACGAAGGGATTACTGCGCAGAGGTGAGTACACTACTGGCTTGAGAGGGGGAGTTGCAGGTGCTGTGAGGAGTCTTATTTTTTTTTCCTTGAAGTGGTGGTTTGCGTAGTGGTTTGCGGGTGCATACAGGAATGACTGGGATGGGTTGGGTTACAAAGTAGTGTATAGGCTCATGGAAATCAATCTTATTAGGACATATCGTTCATTAAATGTATACCATGTAGTCTTGTGAGTTGCAAAGTAGCTATGTGCAGTTTGCTTCCGTGTCAGTCTGTTTTCGAGTATGCTCAGTACATAGTATGCTCATCGTCGAATATGTCGTCACCATCATCATCCTCGACCATGTCATCATCACCAACGCTATCACCAACGCTATCGCTAGCTGGTGCTGTCCGCTGCGCCCAACACTCCGCATGCAAGCCAAGAACCTGTAGAAGACTACAAAAATTATCGATGCTCTGCTCACTATACCACGCGCTACATTTTTATACGATGTGGACCTGCCAAACCATCAACGTGTCGATATTATTTTTTGCGAGAAGGGCCAACAGAGGGACGAGCTCAATTAGCGTCTCCGGTGTCTCGTTAGTACCAAGCTTGTTCAGATCGGACGTGCGGAACGCGGTTCTCGATTGCCTGCATTGTTCCTCGTGACTAAGCTAGAAATCAGAATGCATGCCAACTTCGTTCTGCCAGTTCGCGGGCAGAGATTCGAAGTGAATGTTCTGCATGAAGGGACCGTGATCTAGATCAACGGGAGCTGCTGAGTCGCATTCGCCGTGGTCTGGGTTGGTGGGTTCTACGTTATGGTCAACAACATCTTGCTCGGCAGGCAGGTGTGCTTCTATGTTTTCCATGATAGGTTCTGACTCTTCCATTTTTGCATCTTGAGTGTAGTTGGCTAGGAACTCCTCGATACGTTCAAGAAGTCGACAATTCTTCTCTGCAAAGTGCAGTTGGTTCTCTGAGATAAATTAGCAGTGTTAGGTAATCATGGCATACGACTCATGGGGAGGATCTGCGGAGTGTTCCTCCGACTCGGGTTTCATCGTCTTCGAGAAAGGCTGGCTATGATCCTCCATCGTGGAAAAGAAAGATGTTTGGAAAGAGTTGTGGCGGAATAAATTGGATGAGCGTGGGATTTGTGCAGGAATGAGAATGTAGGGGTAGAGTGTAGCTAAAGAGCAGAAGAGTTGAGCAGCGGACAGGCTGATATATACGTGACATCGGACCATGTACACAAGTGAGAGACGCCTTCAATTTGACTTCTCTACTGCAAGCAAGATGCACGAGACGCAGATCTCGGCCATTACATTATTACTTTCGCTACTTACTCACCGTGACTGATATCATGATTGACGAGTAAATCATAGACATTACTCTTGATATACTGCAAAGTTAAGAGACTTGAATGAGAAACGGTTAGAGCGAGGCATGCATGTGCACTTCTCACATATCACTTTATATCTTCGTATCAACAAACTCTCCATTTGTGAGCATTCCAGAAGCTTTCTTAATTTCTCCTTGTTTGACCGCTGCAACTACTTCTGAGCCAAAAGTTCTGTATCTAGCAACTCCAGAGAACCACCGTATACTCGATGTAATTACAATCCAAAGAGAACCTAAACCGAGTTCTTGCTACCACCACCACCATTGCCTATCACTTCAAGGCGCCATATAATAGTCCAAGTTTCATAGTTCAACGCCACTCCGCAGATATTTGGGAAGAGTAGACCACGCGATTACTGGGTCTGTGGCTTTAGGAACTATGACGATCTGAATGCATGGCTTTTTCTTTCAAATGCACGTGTCACAGGCAAATTGCGAGTCGTCCCGGGACCTTGTCCACTTGCAAAACCCTCTCATTCCCCCTCTACTCAATACCATCAGCGCAACACATCTAGCTGGGTTGGCGCGTGCGTGTGGTTGTCGGGCCATAGCAGCCCAGGCTCGACGATGGGACACCGCCGTGAACATTGACTGGGCCATCAATGTGCCCATCCTTTCTTGGAATCCAAGTGGGAATTGATCCCAGCACTGCCATCGATTTTGGCTAGGTAGCCAAAAAAAGATGGACTAGTGCGATCTCTCCACCTACTGTGTTGCCATTTGGGAGAATTGTGGGGTTGAGTGCCCCTGGGATAGTGGACCTTCCGTATGGTGTAGGCACGGTGGGAGCCAGGTGTTGGGGCTCAGGAACAGTGCTATGGTGGTTTTGTGGGCCCTGTATGATGTCAGTCTCACCCACAATAACCAAGTGAAATACTAACCCAATGACCCCGCCACCCCAGCCCGCCCTATATCTGCGGACATCCATCCGCCACCCCACACCCATATACCCAATTAACTGAGTATATGCTACCCCCGGTCATGGCGGATACACTCGTCATGACCGGGGCATCATATATCGGAATATATGGAAATACATCAGGGCCTACAGGCCGGAAGGAGGAGAGTAAAAAAATATACAGCAATGGCGGCTATATGCTCACCATGCAGAAAAAGAAGGAGGTAAAAATAAGAGATAAAAATAAAGAAGAAAGGTAGAAGATAAGAATGTACTCTGGCAAAGAAGCATGTGCCCGTCGTTGCTAGGGATGAGGAAATGAGTTGGAGTGTGGAGGAGTGGCAGAAGGGTGGCGGAGGACAGGTCTATATAAAGGAGGGTCAAGGCTTCAATGTTGCGTTTGGCGCGTTTGCAGGGAGCACATGGGGCCCGCTGGTAGGCAGCAGTGTCCTTCCATTGTTGAGAAAGGCTGCTTCACTGCGTGTTGCGACGTCAAGGCAAACGCGCAGGCAGGCAGTTGCTGGCGCTTTTTGAGTATTGTGTTAGGCATTGAGGCGCTGCCACATCAGTCACGTGCGCGCTTATTCGCACGAGTCGTTTGTATCCGTGAATTTTGCGTGATGCTGCATAAGTCAAGCGTTGATTGTGGGATGCTAGACATGGATTATTAAATTGATGACTTGTTAGCAGTTCTATGTGTTGAGGCAAACCGCCGAAGTAGATCCCATATGTGAATGATCGCAATCACACTGATACTCTACATATGACTCAATTCTAGTGAGAACATATCATTGGAAGTATTGAGAGGTTTTGAGATGACGATAGTACATTAGAGTATCTAAGAGCAACGAGGGTATCCCGAATCATTAATAGAGAGCGTCTGACCATCACAAGATTGAAAAGAAGCAGCCAGGCTTCCATGAGACCATCTAGAAAACATTTCCCTTCGTCTGCTTGCCCTTCTCCTCCTCCAGCTTCTTGAGGTTGATGTTTTTCCAAACAAAAATGCAGGCCAAGCAAAGAGGGACGAAACAGGCACCTGTGATGACCATCTTACGCTGCACATCACCGTATGCACCGACGATGGCAATGCGCTCAGGTGTACCGTCTAGGAAAGACTGCTGAGTTGCAATATCGCCAAAGATGGTGCGGTAGTCTGGTTTGCTAGATTCAGGAAGGCGCTTGAGGAGTTGTTCAGGAAGAATGTTGTTCCACATGGCGCCAGCAATAGCGTAACCGATTGAAGAGCCGAAGCTACCAAATAGACCGTAGATAGCGTTAACTACAGCAATCTCTTGATGTGTGACGGGGACCATGACCCCGAGCTGAGCGCAAGTAGCGAAAAATGCCGTACCAAGACCAACAAGGACTTGTGTGAAAGCAAGGACGCCAGGGTTGGTAGATGGTTTCCGGAAAGGAATCAAGAGTGCGGTACCAAGTAAGACGATGGGAACACCAGCGTAAGCAGTCCACTTGAAGTTTCCGGAACGCCTGATCCACAACGCAATTATCGGGCTGAAAACCGACGACGTAAGCGAGAAGGCGTTGAGAATGTAGCTGGCATGCGTGATGCTCTGCCTGTGAACGACCAGCAGGCATGAGTAAAAGTATCCGTTCCAACAGAAGACAGAGAGGAACATGACTCCATAGAGAAGACATGAGCCAACAATGGTTCCATTCTTGAGGTAAATCCAAGGCAAAAACTGCACAGGCGCGAACTTGGCCTCCCAAATATAGAAGACCGGGAAGAGAACGAGACCGAGCACGATGCAAGCAATGATGTAAGGTGTCTTCCAGCCGTTGGGGGCGTAGGATACGAGAGTAAAGGGCAGAACAAATAAGCACCACGCGCACATGATGAGTATAATACCAAAAACTGGGCCATGTTAGCATGTGTCATGTGTATCTAATGAGAAGCTCACCATCAAACTGCACAAAGTAGTACCAGATTGACTGCAGGAAATTGCGATCCGACTTTTCCTTCTTGGCCAGTCCAGCCTTCCTGGCCTTGCGGTACATGAATATCATGACAACGATGGCGGGAAGGCAGCAGCCGACGAAGATGATGATGAATGCACCAAAAGCCCAGCGCCAGTTGTTTTTGTAGTAAAAGAGCTCTGCAATCCTAGGACCAGCGAAAGTGCTAGCGATACGAGGCGTTCCGTTGATAGTGAGGATGATCATTCGGTTCTTCAAGGTAGTGATATCGGCAGCCATGATGTCAGCAACATATAGCACACCAATATGGCCAGCCCAGTAGAGAACGTGACCAGCCATATATGTCTGCACGTTCTGGCAGGCAGCTTTCATGGCCATACCGCAGACGACGAGAAGGAGCATAAGGAAGAAGCCCTCTACGCGACCGAAAACGTCGACTACTTTGGCAATGAGGAGGGGGACACAACCGCTCAGTGCTGTTGCCATGACGCTCGAAACGGTCAACAGGCCATGTCTTCCGAAAGCTGAGGTGATGTAAGGGTTCAGCGCTGCATCAATGGCATTTTGTAAGAAAGCAACAAACTCGACAAGGTACAAGCTAAAAGTCAGTCAGTATTTGATGGCTGGCTGGGAGAAGGAGCGACGAACAAGATGAACATGGCAACCAGAGTCTTCTTGCTCCATATCTCGGTGATGGCGCGGACACGTTGAACGCCATTCTGGAAGTTGTCCGACTCAATGGACTTGGACTCGGCGTCGCTGGCCGTCTCGTGAGAGTGGACTGCTCTCTTCTCAACGTCGATGTCGTGTGAGGGACGAGGAAATCCCTCTGCAGGCCGCACCACGTCAGTCTCAAAAGTGTTGTTCGCCATGGTCAAACGGAATTTCCGAAAAGATGCCGGGCGAGGCAGGGTATTGAATTGAAATGCAGGTGGATGTCGATCCCAAGACCGGCAGATGGAAGCATTCTTAAGTATCTCCAGGGCCCACTCCGAGAACCGGACAGGGAAGGTCAGGACAGGAACAAGACATGAAAAATTTGCCCCGTGTATCCCACCCGGTGGCTTGGGATCATCTCCCACCGTCCAGGTAGGATGGAGTGCCCAGACAGCGTTAGCAGCGGCTAGATGATCAGATAAGTCCTAGATGATCTGATAAGATCCAATGTCCCTTCGCCCTCTCAGCTGCCCCACCGCAAACCTGCATTGCCAAGCCCTTGGCTCATAATTTCAGTGGCGGCCATAGCTCCCGGCTCGTCGAATTGAGCAGTGCGCGCCGAAGCCTGAGACCCGTCTTGACAAGTCCAACACGTCTCGCCCGAAGAACAGAAGAATTCAAGTGCGGGTAGCGGCACTGGGCGTGAACTTCACGTGGCAATCGCCTGATAACATGCCGTCGTCGCAGTGTGCCTTGGGACGGTAGCTCGTCCATGACAGGAGTGTGTGGATGAACATGACGACTTTGACTAAGAAAAACTGTCCGCTGCGGAAAAAAAAATGGAACCCAATAAGCTCAAAAAGGGCTGGAATTAGCAATGGTAACCGTCATGTGGATGGGGCGCAAAGGTGAAGGAATGAAGCCGTCGCATGGCCATTAGCCGGGCGCGACAACCGCCCCTCATGACCGCCGGGACTAGCGGCCCCAACACGGTCACGATGACATCTAATCTTATCAGATCATCGCACTTACCTCGGACGACGCCTACTTCAGCATAACTCGGCCTTTCAGCCCTTCCACAGTGGAGTCTTAAATACACCCTGCACGTAGCTTGAGTGTCCGCGTGGAGTCGAGAGGTAGCCACCATCTCAACAGTTCCGCCGGCTCGTGATCAGGCCACCGGGTTGGCCGCGTCAACGCCACAACCATTCGGCTTTATTGTGGCGCCCTCTACATCTCTCACACGGGTTGAAAAAAAAGTAGGGACGAGAACCATTCGAACACAAGATGGAAAGCTCAAAAACTACCTCGGAATGTTGATCACGTGTCATTTGTCATGGGAATCGACTAATCCTACTCGTAACAATGGGACTGGCGGATATACAGCAACTCATCCCAGCTGAATCTTAATGGCTTGTCAGAACATATCCGAGGCAATACCGTCGATACTACCCTCTCACCGAGCGTGCGCTCAGCCGACTTGAGGAGCGATTGATTTTTTGGTTTGGTTGGTTACGAGCATGACCTTGACTTCACCTCTGGGCCAGAGGTTACAGAGTGATCCCACAACTCTGCTTTTGTACTGCCTAGTTTCTTAAGCTGAGTAATGTGTCTATATTCGGCCCAGCCGGTGGACTGGCTCTAGCTTGGAAACACCAACTCCAAAAGGGACGTTATGATCGTCCCAACGAACAATGGTCTCTTCGTACCTATAGTCACGACCGATGCAATGCGAAAAACCCCAACTTCAAAGATCGAAAATGTACTTTTCCTTGAAAATGTGGTGTACAGCAATTCGTCACTGTCACTGCTATAAGCTGCGGAGTGCCAAAAGCTAGGTGAAGGCGCGCTTTCGCTTTCACTTTCGCAGTCACCTTTACTTGTGTAGATTTGTTGCTAGGCAAGATCCATATCATTTTGCTCTCAGTTCCTTCTTGGATCCCCTCAACTACCACATCCAACCACTCGAACGACGCCAATGTGGAAGACAAGGACCATGTCGCTTCGGAAACCTCAGCCTGCAGTGTCACGATAGTCTCCCGCATCCGCTTAGCTTCCTCATTGAAGAAAGTTGTGTTGATGTTTGATCGCTGTTGCTGACCTTCGGCCGCCTTCTTGCCTTCGAGAGCGTTGGTTGTAATACCGCTAGTTGCTGCTCAGAGCTTTGCAGAACGACCTGATGCGCGCAGACCTCTGTTTGAAATTTCTTAGTAGCTGATATACTGTCTTCTAAATCATCTGAATTGATTAGTCGTGCAGTACACATGTAAAGAGTTGGAGAACTTGCCTTGTGGATGGATAAGAGTGTCAACGAACATTTCGTGACTGGCTAGAATTCGCGATTTCTTTTGTTCCTCTGCTTCCTTAACTCGGGGAGAGCTGATCTGCTTGTCTGAACTGCGAATATTTTCATCCGTCGCCTGCATCTTGCGCTCCTTTTCCATAATCTCCTAAATTGATTCCACTTGAACTGCTCGCACTGCAGACGCGAAAAGTTCAGCACCTCTTGACGGCATGCCAGTCACCTCTTCGAACGAATACGAGTCAACTGGGAGAGCCATGGTGCAGCAGATTCGGGATGGCTCTTCGCGAACGATTGGCAAGGACACGTAGGTGGGTGAGAAAAGATCACGTATGGTCTGAAAAGGTTTGCTGCAGTCGCCGGTGAAAAAAAACGATTGCAGCTCATCAGCTACATTGTTTGGCCTTGGTGGGAAGGTATACAGCTCGTTCCTGCCTGGATTTGGAGGAGGAACCTAGCTCCTAGAGTACACGAACCTCGCAACTGAATCACGGTCACCAAATCCGCGGCATACAGCAAGAGAGACCACGGCAAGCGAACGCGTTCATTTTAGCAAGCAGACCAGCTGCTAAGACGAAGCTTACTAACATTTTCAATAGTCCATTAATGAACGTCCAGGCTGCGAACGACGAAGACATGATGGACTGCCCACAAAAGCGCCTAGGAAACATCATTTGAGGGAGCGAAGAACACTGACAAAGAATATGGGCTGTCTCATCTTGCTATTTTCAAAGATACTGCTGTGTACTATAGATATCTCAACAATCCACAATGACTATATATAATGCCCTAACCATCTTTAGGTTACATAGGAGGTATCTTTCCAATTAATTACTTCCGTAGTTCGCTTTGATACATGAAACTACTAAAAGACCATGTGTCTAGGTATGCATAGAAGTAAGCGTTCGAGTTCCGTTATGTACACTCTGTATTCGGGACAATTCCAAGTTGACTAGGCTCATGGAGGACTCTTGAGCACCGAGTAATGGCGACATCGGATACACCTGGGTCCTAACAGGAGATACTACATAGTTTAGGAAACAAAGCTAACTCCCATGCTAAACTACAGAATAGATTTGTGTGGGTGTTAGCATTACTAGGTGGCTTCGGTCAATAGCTATCAGATGGGTAAGGCTGGTTCGCGAGCTCATGATGCTTCATTCCCTGGGTAGATACAGCATTTTCTTGTAAGTTGTACTTTGCCTTTAGTGATAACACTTCTTCAAATCATGACTACAAGAGGCCTCCCATGCCCAATACGTTGATCTTTCGCGTATAAACGCATAGTTAGTACTGACTCCCAGATATGAGTCGGTAGACCACGAGGGCTGTTCAGAAAGCCAGAAAACATGTGAGATTTCCGCATGCATATTCAATACGTGCTTTTAAGAGGCCTGTTGGGCACAGAATTTGATGTGTATGGTGGGGCATTACTTCCTAAGCGCTTGTGAGACACCTGCTAGCATGCATGACGTGTACTTATTTTCAGACACAACGCAGCGGCTATTTGAGGCCGGATTTACTGTGTGATGATAATGTGTGCTCTGCCTTGGTGCTGATAGGATAGACAGCATATCAGTACCATATTAGTCCGTGCAGAGGCGGTTCTGGGCGACAATCGGGTAGGCATGCCTACGTTTAACAGGGGTCAACAAATCTGGCCTCTAAATTGGATCGGGATCTTTAACAGCGAAGTGCTTCTAAGATATCTAGTCAACTATGTTGGAGATCAGTCTGCTTTTAGTCCTCCCATCGAATCCTCACTATGGCTGCAACCGGCATCTCCAGCATGCTAAGGTGACTACGTACATTCCTACCGTCAATACTGTCAATGGCAGCAGCACAAATATGATTGCCACCACCAAAACCTACGCCATCACCGAGTGTCCAATGGAATCACCCTCTTCGTCAAACTCCGAGCATTATCACATTAAATCTAAGCAACACAATAGTAGTAGAAGTCGGCCTTTCTCAAACCGCAGCTAACACTATAGTGCCGCTAAGATCGTCTTCCCTAAGAGCCGAAATTTTCTTCTTGGAGATTTCAATCGGTCACGCTCGCCTGTTATACAGATTCTGATAAATGGCCTGTGTATATTTTCGTCTCTTTCAGCCTTCATAAAGAGTTCGTTCAGCACCAGTTGTATCTTGTGATCATGGAACACGGCCCAGCTATGTGGTTATCTCGAATAGCAGTGGTTGCTACATACCACGTGACACATGGATTGAACTCGTCACAAGCCACCGCCCACGTGGATTGTCGGGCCACTAGCATTGATCTATGCTGATCATGCAGCAACAGTATATTGGCAGAGCATGGCTGTGGGGCATATGTAGGAGCGGAAGAAAGTTTCCATGCAATTCCTGGTGCTAGCGGCTCGTTCCGTCAAGCGCGACAGCAGTGATGTATTACATCCTCCGCTATTGGACCGGGAAGGTGTTGCGCAATGTTTGCCACCCCTGTCCAAGTATGTTTGTACACGACAAAGGGACCAGAAACGCTGGGGCGCGCAATAAATGGCATACTTGATGAATGCACAAAAGATGCAAGTCATGGCGCGAGAAGATCGGCTCGGGTCGATTTTTCTGACTGGCAGTGTCGTCTGATCTAGAGTAGGATTGCCCAGAGCTGTGCACTATGTCATTCTGGGGGCGTGGATACGCGGTAGAGATGTTGTCGAGGTGCCGAGTATGAAATCGACGATGCGGTTAGTGACTGAAGGCTGAGTGTACAAAAGTGAAGTTCTCGAGAGAAGGGAAGAAATAAGACGATGCTACTAGCTACCCCCACACTCCCCCACGAGGTAGCTCGTTTCCATATTTGGCAAAGTACTACAACCCCGCATATATGATGCGAAGAAACTACCTAGCAACATGGTACCTAGACACAGCACCTAGAGAAGCTACAATCAGCTCCGGATTTCAGTATGCCGCCACAGCAGTGTTTGGATCACTTGATCCTTTTTGTACCCGCAGACCCGCAGACGCTACTCCCCCGCGTTCCCTCGTACTTGGCGGAGAATTTCACTCTGACTCCTGGCGGGTTCCATGCCGATGGTGCAACCTCGAACGTTCTGATCATCCTCTCGGACGGATGTTACATAGAGCTTATCTCGTTTGTTCCCACTGCCCCGGCGTCACTCGTGTCCAGCCACTGGTGGGGCCCTTCTTCAACATTTGTTGGCTGGAAAGATTGGTGCCTGACCAACAGTCTGCCTCCGTCCCAAAACTACGATGACGTGAGGGAAAGCCATGGGGAGCCGATTCATGGAGGGAGGAAGAGGGCGGACGGAGTGCAAGTCAAGTGGAGTGTCACATTTCCGAGAGGAGACAAGGGCGGACAAGACGCAAGGGGACGGATACCGTTTTTCTGTCACGATGAGACTGAAAGGGGTGTGAGAGTGCCGATAGCCGAGGAGAAGACGGGGCATGCATGTGGGGCGGTGGGGATCAAAGAGCTGACGGTCGTCGTGAAGGATCAAGATCTGTTTGAGCAGACAAGCAAGGTGTACCGAGCGATCATCGGCGATGAAGGCCGGAAGGAGAAGTGCGAATCGAGGTTTAGACTTGGCCGTGTACAGGGTGTGGTAGAGCTCAAGGAGGGCGCAGAAGTTGTGCTGCGGCTCCCGAGAAATGAAGAGGAGGAGGCGCGTGTTGCAGAAGGAGGATTCTGGTATGGTGACGTTGTCCTTTACAGAAGAGCGGACGGTGGTGATGCCGACAAGACAAGAAAAAGAGTGGATGGCGAGGGCGGGGATGAGGGAGTGGGCGGGTTGTGGTTGGAGGAAGTGGTAGGGCTGTAAATCTGTGGCAGTACTCGTATAGCAAACACAGGGGAACTCGTAGGTGTGCACCGTGTTGACGTGATGTTTTTTTTCTGTAGTGTCGATCTGCTTGCGGACGTGTCAATGGCTGTTTCTCGCGGTCAAGTAGTCCGAAAGCGTGGGCAGGGGACGCGGATAGGACGCGGTGCTGTTTCGGGCGAGAACACCGCAGCCAATCACAGAGCGGGCACACATAGTAGATGCCGACCTTCCCTCGTACGTACAGTAGATTGCCATGACGCAGGCAGTCGAGAGCATACCTAACCATCCAAGCTCCGCCCCCATGGTTTCTTGCTCTCGCAACATCACCCACTGCAGCCTCCACATTGCCAGTGGCCGCTTCTGATGCAAGACGACCACCGGTCCATAGGCTCAGCCTCGACTGCACCCTACTCAACACAATTCAAAGTGGCCATTCCGCGTCTCTCTTCGCGACGCGCTCCGCCAGCAACCACTTCCAAGTCACGTCAGAGAGATCGGGTCCACCTAGCATGCCGCAACTGTCACAAAAGAAGTGGGTCGTCGCAACTACACCCTCCACCCCCCAGCTAATCAGACGTTTCCAGAAATCAAATGCAGTGGCGGTCTTCCCCGGTGCAACTACTGCGACAAGACCGACAAGCCCTGTGTCTATGAGCGTCCACGGAGAGACCGTCTGGCTCCGTGAGTACTTCGGGCCCTTTTTGCCCTGCCGTGCATCCCCTGACTCGCACACAGTGCCAATGCACGTAATGATACGCTAGTCTCCCTCCTCAAGGACCTTAGTCTGCGTCTCGACGGCGACGAAAGGCAAAGAATCGTAGATGCTCTCCAGGATGCAAGTCTTCAACTCTCCACGTCCCATATCAAGCCAAAACTAACTCGGCCTAGTCAGACGACGAATCTACCACGTCAGCCTTCACACCCTCCTCTTCCTCTTCTCGCCCATCCGTCGCCTCCTTATACCAAAAGCATTCACACTTGCAGCCTAATGCTGCTTCTTCCTCGACCCAGGTCCCAGGACCTTCAACCGACTCGGACCAATCATCACTACCCCGGTTAGACGGTATCCTCCCCGACGAATCAGACGATGAAGATGAAGAAGCAGCGGCAGATCTCTTCCATGTAGTCGAAGCAGGGTCTCCGGGCCAGGTGTCTGAAGTCCAATGGCTGCAAAGCCTCAGAAATAGGGTCCAGGTTCTCGTGCCTGTCGGCCTGGACCCAGCAAGCGCTTCAGTGCCCATGACATTTCCGATACCTCCGGCCCTTGTCCCACCGCCAGCCTTCACTCCAACCAACCCGGTCCTCTCTACTGCTTCCATCAGCTATCTCCTCGCTACCTATCATCTCGATGACGAAGGTGTCAAAACCATTCATGGCGGAAATCCTTTCGAGCTGCCCTCGGAACAAACCGCCAGCTTTCTCTTCCAGTGTTTCAAACGCACTGTCCAGAAATCTTTTCCCATCCTGCCAGCCATGCTTGAGGCACAGCTGCATCAATATTACAGCCTGATCCACAGCCATAAGGAGATGCAATGCCCACAAAACTGGTTTGCCTTGGTCAATCTCGTCTTCGCCATTGGGGCCAAATTCTCCCATCTTATCCAAGCTGACTGGTGCGGCGACACTCTCGATCATGTCACATACATGTCACGTGCTTATCAGTTGCTTGTAATGAATGATTCTGCTTTTGGTTTCTCGACTCCAGATTTGACTTCTACTCAGGTAGCTAGCTTTTCCTCAGGGTAACTACGTTATCGCTAATAGCCCACAGGCGGCTGGTCTATTTAGCATCTACTACATGAGTGTTGGTCATTTCAATAGGTAAGTGCCACTATGCATAATCTTCACTTCGTCATGTTCTCACATCCGATATTCTCACCTACTGACTATACGTCGATAGAGCCTGGATAATGGCCCGTGGAGCCATGCAATCTGCACTTTCCCTAGGACTCCATGTTCAGCAAGAGGATCGTTCCATGTCTGCAGCCAGACAACAAAGTCGAGTAGACACGTGGTGGAGTCTACATGCACTAGAGAGCCTACTGGGCTCAATCACGGGCCGTCCAAGTACTCTACCGGGTGACGAAATCACGACTCCTTCATCGAAAGCTTTTTTTGATACATTATCCGGGATGTATGGACAAGGCGCACCCATAACAACAAACATGGCATTCCTAGACGCTGACTCTAGCTTGCACACGATAATGCAGCAGGTGATATCCAGTCTGTATACCCAACGAAAACTGATTCCCCCATGGTCTCACGTCCAACAGAAAATGGTTGCGTTGGTAGGAGATTTGGACAAGTGGGTTGTGGATTGCGTACCCCACTTCCATTCGGAAAGTTGGGCCATGGATGACGCCCAACAGCGTAATAACTCTCTACTTAAATTCCAGTACTACCGCGTAAAGATTCTAATGACACGCCCTTCGCTTCGCCGCATCGAGCGCTCCACGGAATCTGAGTCGGGTGAATTCACAAGCTTGGACCAATCCATGGCCGAGGCATGCATTCAAGCAGCGAGCGATGTGGTTGCATTGTTGGGGACAGTGCCTGACACAACAACTTTGTACGAAAAGGGGCCGTGGTGGACCATTGTCCATAATGGTAAGTCTTCCTTCATTTGTGGGCAGTTTCCCAATGCTGACGCAAAGGTCCACAGTGATGCAAGCGCTGGCTATTTTGATGAACGCAATCGCGTGCCCAGACCATTTTGCCGACTCGTCTTCGTTGTCAGCACACGGTGTACGATAGCTCGTAGGCTGGCTGCTTGCCATGCGCGCGACCAACATCATTGCGGCGAGGGCACACCAACTTGTGTATTCTCTCGTCAAGACATCGAACCCCCAGGTCTGGGCTAGCATTGCAGACGCGTTCCCAGACGATGCTAGCATGGTGTTGCTGCAACCTTTGCCCGCCATTGTCGATCCAAAGTACGTGCCGTGGCCAGCCAAAGAATCGCCAATGGACGCGTGGTTCGAATATGATCTGAACAGCTTCTTCGGTTACAATTGCCCTCCTTTGATATGAGAGTATGGCAACTTTTGGATATTTTATATTGATATAACGTGGTTCATAAGCGAGCGCGCCACCCAAGCGAGCGCGCCACTTTGCACCAGCGCGTTATCTTCAAGACGTTACTACAGACTTTTACTAACGTGTATCACCAGTGTGCGCCCCACCCCAGTGTGCGCCCCACAAAATCCTAGTACCTCACCTTCGTAATAGTATTACGCAACACTACC